CATAATAAAAAATAGATAGTAAAAATGTCATTTGTAATTTAAAATGCTTGATTTATACAGGATTAAAACCCATTTCTTCAATTACAAATAGAATTAAGTATGGTTAAACAAGTTTTCAGATAATTTTCGTTGCAGCAATGAAGGCATAAAATTACTATCATGTTCCTTCATGTAAGTTCTGTTGTATGAACGGTTCAAAAACATCATGAAATATTCTGTATATGTTTTATGACAAGTTTTTTTATTGCTCGCTTTCATACGAACTGAAATGCAACGAGATGAATGTCATGTCTTTAATACGCCTTAATCTATTCTTCTATTTTTTGATGAAAACACCTGAGGACGGTTGGTAAATTTTACACGAATAGATGTTTTCAGGTGAACTAACTACCTTTCTTCAAAAGTATAGCATATTTTTGGGCGTTGATATAAATGTTTTTGTTATTTAAAAAAAAAACCAAACTTGAAAACTTTCAATTTCTATTGGCACGTGAAACAACATGTTATTTATGTTCTATATAAATCTAAAATTTCTCAAATAATGATCTACTTTGAAACGTACTTTCAGCTATTGCAACATTTTTTGTTGTTTTGATCTACGCATTGTAATAACGGAGCGTTTTCAATTTATGTTCTTAGACGAAATCACATACTAATAATAAATTATATTATAATCACTTGGATCACCATGCTTGGATGTTTTATAATTAATAATTGAAATATATTGATATTCATGGATCGAAGAGTTGGTGAGTATTTAAAAAAAACAGCCAAGAAAGGTTATGATAAATGATGAAATTCATAATTGTTGACAAATAAAAATTGATTACATTTATCTGATTTTTTTATTCAGTTCTATAAATGTCTGCAAAAACCCACACTCTTTTATAACTACTGAAGAATTATTAACCATGGTTTCTTTTATACATTGCGGTGGTTGCCAATGCAAATACATTATAGTATGTTACTACTGTATGGCAAAATATCATCGGACAACATCTTTACTTAATTCCCACGTAGACAAATCTTTACAAGCTATTGCCCTTTACACACATCATCAAATTCAAAATATCTTCTTTAAAAATAGTACATTTATCTGGACAACACATACATTAACGCCAAGGAGTCTGTCTTCGTGTAAAGTATTTATTTCAATTTCAATGAAAGCTAATTCCAAGACCAATATCTTCTTTCCTCATATTTAATTTGATCAACTCACTTCATATCGTTGAAGTGTCTGTGCTACACACTTCACAGTAGTCAATTTTATTCTTGCAACAAAAACAACAACGCATAACATGTTTCGTATAGTGCTAAAACCTAAAATTGATGTAATACATTATTATGGTAATTGTGTGTGACTGTGTGATGTATTACAATTTGATAGTAAGTGCGAAAGCACATTCAAACCAACCGTGCAATTTCAATGATTATTATAAGAGTTTAATGCAATCATAACAAGTGAACGATTGTATACTAGAGCTACTGTACTTTGCGTCTAAGGCCTAGAAATTTTCATTCATATTATCAAATGATTTCATATCGCGATATATAGAATCATACGAGTTGGAATGCTAGTGAGTATGATTACTTCTGGGCGAATGGAAAATATGGCTCAGAAATTATTTTCAGAGAAAAAATCGTTCGTGAATTAATTTTCATTTTTTATAAAAATGTTTTCTATCGTTACGACATCATAATGTAATAATTCACCGAATCAAATTCAATAAGAAAAACAACCAAGCATTCTTGAGCATTGTGTTGTGGTTTTGCTTCCTCTAAATGAATTTTAATCAATTGATATGTGATGTTTTCGATTTATTGCATTGAGTAAAAGTGCACATAACCACACAGTTTGCTGCCTTTGGAGATATTTTTGTTTTTTACTTTGTGCATCACTTCAAAAAATCTAAGTTGGTCAATTTCCTGCAGAGCCATCAGCAACGGGAATACAATTTCAAGTGTAGTTTTACGAAGAAAAGAGCACGGAAAAAATCTATAATGTGTTTTTTGTTCATTTGATAGCTGCATTTTCTGCACCGCACACAAAGTTCAATGTTATTTGCTGCACGAGGAATACTCCAATGGTTAAAGAGTTCAAGAACACCGTAATAAGATACATGTACATCGAGCAAACCATTTATATCGAAATGTACAAACAAGGCACGGTATATATACATTTGTGTATTCTTTCCCAATCGAATGAGAAAAATTGCACATGCGCACAATTGCATCAGGAATAATCAACCCACGACCAAACATAACATTCATAAACGTATAAATTACAACAAAACTTCACAAACGGAACAATATTTCTGTATTTTTCTATATTTACTATTTTTATTGTTTCTCGTTCTTTGTTCACTTCCATGCACTGAGACATTTTTGGTTGACGTTGAATTTTATAGATTTCAATGGATATTATGCACTTATGAATTTACCATGAATTTTAGTTCTCGCGCTGGCACATCACTTTCATTTCAACAAAGTAGAAATGGAACAATTTTATGGTCAACTTTATCAACCTTACATCTCTGCATTATATAAATAATTGATGCTTACATTGAACACAATTATCGATTAAATAATAAAACAAGGTAAAAAAATAAACATACTTTGTTTCGTTAAGTCGGTTCTAGGCTCCTGTATAATCAATTCGTTGATGTTGTTGATTACTTTAAATTGCTCCAGTACTGTACACATGAAATATTATCTCTTCCACCAAAATGAGAGCAATTGACACTCAATATCAATTTCATACACGTTGCACTGAATTATCAACGACCAAACAAAAATACACAAACAATTTACACAATGGTTCCAGATTTACATTGAAGTATAATTTATATTGTTTGAATAAAACCGGCAAATATAATAGTTAAAATTAGAATAACACACATACATACACAAAAAACAAAATTCCGTTATTATTTTGTCTTTATTTGTTCAAGATCAGCATCGATGATAAAATTTAACAATTGAAAGAAGTGTCAAATGCGTATTATAATTGAATTTTGACGTCGCGACGCTAGTTTTCGATCATCAACCGTTGTGAGGATATGAGTCGTAATCACGCAACTGTTGGGAGAAAACTAAGCCAGACACATCGAGCTGTGAGAGTGCTGTGTATCAATACACAAAACACGGAGTGAACAGAGTGAAAACATATCGAACCCACAAAAATAAAAATGAACATACATAAACTCATAGATGTTGTGCGATACCGTCTGCTCATGCCGAATTCATATGTATTGTACAAACAAATAAATAATCTAACAGCACCAGAGAGGAAAATAAAGGCATGGTTTTTTCTTCGTAAACAGATGAATACGGAGTCGACAAAAAGGGCGAAAGTGAAGCGAGACAAACTATACACAGATATATGAACAAAAACCAATACCAACACAGTAAGCAGCAACACATTTTGCTTATTGCGCTCTCTTTTTCACCAAATCCCCGTGCTCGCCTATTCATTTCATTTCAACGTACAGCCACAGCACACGAGTGTGAATGATGCCGATTATTGTGATCCTATTAAAATGTCAACACTGCTATTGGTATGTGTCTATGCAACTTTGCTTGGAGACAGCAGCCGTCGTACGTTCGTTATACATTCTGGCTGTGTGCATGGATTTATAAAAAAAATATGAGAGAAAAGGTGAGTGAGTATGTGTGTGAGAGAAAGAGAAAAAGAAGGAATGATGCAAAAATTTAAAAATAAATTCGGTAAATTGAAGTTTGCGTGTGCCAAACAGCACGCATTGAGCCATTCTTTTGCTGTAGATAGCACACATGTGATGCATGCCTTCGAATAAATTGACTGTGAATGCATGTTTGCGCTATTAATATCGTTTGATTTTGCTGGATGCCATAATTACTTTCTCACTCTGGAATTTAAAAATTGTATTTTCTGACCATACTTTTAATAGTTTTTTTTGGCAATGTAGCAGTAGGTGATACGACAGCTGCATGAATTGCTTAAACAAAGAAGAAGACTCAATTGAAGTTTATGTCCCAATCGGTCAAGCTATGATAGCAGATGTTTGATATACTTTGCATATTTGAATTAATTGCATATGCATTCATTTTTATTGTTCGCTCAACTGCATCTCAATACACGAGGCACAAGTTTACTTACTCTTTTTATCATATTAATTCATCTGATTTGGTCATTTACAACATTTCACACTGTTTGTTGTGTTATCTAACGGTACATCTGAAGTGCAATATGTATTTGCCGCTTTCGATTGAATTGACGATATGCATTTCAAAGCAAAAACGAGACGACAATATGTTCCGTATTCTATATTTGTCTCACTTTTTTAGTTAAATCGCACATGTTTGCTTCCAATCGTTTTGTTTAGAAAGAGAGGTGCGTATGTCGTGTATGTGCATTCTATTCGATGTGAATGAACGAACATATGGTAATAATTTGAAGAATACGATATTTTTGGAGCGTAATAAATATTTCAGCGAACAAAAAATTGAATGGATGGAAATGGCAAAAAAGGCTTTCAAATACTTTCAACAAACCATCTGATATCATGAGTTACATTCTATGTTTATATATAAAACCCCTTAATATTTATACTTCGATACAAGGTATTTGTTTACATATACCGTTTTCTCTCTTCCACTCTGGTTGTCAATCGATATTACAGATTCGGCGCATTAGTGAAACATTTGAATGAAGAGACCAGAGCATTACATTTTTTTCCTTCAGAAAATTCAAATAACTTAGAATGTTGTTCCTTCTCCTTCCACACCACAATGTGTGATCTCATCCGAAAAGCAGATGTTGTAAATGAAATTCCGTCATAGTTAATTTGATTAAATTTTTATTATCCTAATTGCTGAAAATAGCAACGAAAACTAAATAACATTTCGAAAAGAATAAAATAGCCATAATTTCCTCGAATGGAAATTTACACGCGAAAAATAAGAGTGTGTATAAATACATGCGTTAACGGTTGATAACAAAAAAAAACTATTTTCTAAAATTGAGATCGATTTTGACTTTTTTGCCATCATGTGTTGGCTAACAATTTAAATTTTCATTGATTTTACAGTCTCCAATTGTTACAGCTGTCATAAATTCGATTTTATTTTCCATTACGAGTACCAAAAAGTGTTCCGGGCACAAAGATTGCGATGAGTGAGTCATAATTTCATTGTGAATCATTTGTTTTATGGGTGATGGCATTTTGAATGACGTAAATTCGACGAATCCAATAGTACCGCGAAGAATGTATGTCTGTAATGAAGCAAAAAATAAAACAATACCAAAAATGAGTCAGTTGAAGCAATTTCTAGCTATAAATTACAGTGTACTAACCTTGACCTCAAACTCATCTTGAACAAATGCCAAAATAGTGTCCATATTTATATTGAATGTGATTAGACTTCTTGGTTTATAGCATGATATTGTTTGGAACAATTTCCCATTAGTGAAATCTTCAAAAATCTGAAAATCGAATTATTTCGTTATAGATTAATGGAAAAAAATGCCTTCAATGATCAAAACTGAATATCGTTTATGTACCTGAATTCGATCATGGTCACTTTTAATTGTATTTTCCGTGATCGATGTTACAGCAATTAGTAGTTGTTGTGTGGAACCAACTCGAATGGCAATAATTTCATTATTTTGATGCGTTGGAAGCGAATGATCCGGTATTTTAATTACGGTCGCTTCAATTTGCTTGGTACTTTCTGCTTCTAATGTCGGCGAATCTTCATCTTCATCTTTGGCATTTCTAATTGTATCCATCCACGAAAACATATTCGGATTTTGTTGTTTAAATTCCTCCAATTTTTGTGCAAACTCTTCCATAGTTAAATTTTGTGAACATTTGAATCTAATTTCCTCGTGCACTTCGTTTCGATTACTTTCGATATCGACCAGCGACTCACTGAGAGGTTCTTCTACATCCTTTTTACGTTGTTCCCTTCTTGCGTTCAGTAATTTTTTAACAACTCTATCTGACAATAAATTAATTAATGGTGTAAATTTGTTGAATAAATCTTCAAATTTTTTGTCATCCACACTCTTTGCATTCAATGTAGATCCGACCATTTCATCGGCTGAATTCATTTCCGACTGTTTTCTCTCTACAAATTTAGATACTTGACCCGCTTTGTGCATCAATTCTTTCAAAACCAAATGATGTTCTTTAGATTTATCTTGGTTTTTATCGAGCTCCGTATTATTTTGATTCATTTCGAATAATGCTTTAACGGCGTTTTTGATCATTGGCCAGAAGGTCGAGGCTGAGTCACTCGTTTGATCAGTCGTGGTTTTACGTACAAGCGAATTTAACATTTCAACGACGAATGATTTAACAAATTCTCGTCCTTTTGGATTCTCATTTGTGGTTACTTTCCGTAGACTATCTGAAGATAAATTCGATTTACTTTGCGTTTGCTGTACTGAATCTACGTTTGGCTGATCTTTTTCTAGTGTTTTATCATCAACGGTTTCTTCCGGCGCACCATAGCTTTTATTATTATTCACATTATCTTCTACATAGTCTTTAATATATTCTATAGCAAGTTGTTTTAGATCATTCGCCGCATCTGCGGCGCTATCAATGTCCAAATGATCTTTGCCAAACGAGTAAACTTTAACCATTGATTGGCCAATTTTTCGGAAAAATCCAGACATCTGTGATGTTATACGATTGTCTTCATCGTCATCTTCATCGCCGGCATCTTCATTATGCGTAGATTGTAACAAAAATTGGTCATCATAGCTATTCTGATCACGATTATACGGAAATGGTTTTTTTTGGACCGGGCTAGATTCTCTTCTCCTAATTTCATCAACAACCTGATCAATTATATTATCAGCGAATGGAGTCAATTTAGATAAAACTTCTCCAAATTGATCTCCTACTCGTGGATCTTCCTGATTTAATCCAAGCATTTGTTGATCGTATTGTCTCATTTGGAGTTCATAATTAACTTTATTCAAAATGTTATCGGATACCGGATCAATGACATCGCCAAGACTTGGATCAGAATGCGTTTCACTTGAAGTGAATTCCATTGTTAGGTTTTCAGCGAGCGATATCAAATTTAAAATGTGCTCCACTGGATCGGTGTTTACGTGATGTGGTGATTCGAGCCCATCAAATATATCCTGTTTCAATCCCAATATATGTTCTTTTTCATCGTCTTCTTCTTCATCATCATCATATTGGTTTTGTTGGAAAAATGTATCGGCTGCTCTGCTTATGGTATACGCAAGTGATTTATCTATCATAAATGCTCCAAAAAGTGTACCTACTTTTGGTGATGGTTCACTGGAAATATTTGCAAATAAATTATGCACATTCAATGAATCATTCATCGCTTGATTCAATTCATTTCGATTCATCGTCGTTCCAAGAATATAACTGTTTTCATGTTCGCCTTGGTGATCAGAATAATCTTCATTTTTTCGATGATTTTCGCGATTTTCAATCAAGATTCGCTCAGCCCAATCCATCAAATCGACTAATTTTGCTGCAGAACCAACCATAGTTTCGTCACTTTTACTTTGATTCATTGACGTATCGATCGCATCCATCACTTCCATAATTGTCAAAACATCTACTGCACTCAACATAGGGCTGGCATGTTTTCGTAAGATTTTGTCAGCATTTTCCTTTTTAATCACTTCTTCATGTGCTGAATCTACTACCGCATATCGTGCCGTTTGATTTCTCCGACGAATTTCATCAACAATTTTATCAATTATTTGATCTGCAAACGGTTCCAGCTTAAACATTATATCGCCAAATTGATCTCCCACTATTGAGTCATCATCAACGTCTTCCTCGTCTTCGCAATTGGATGTGGTTCTTACTTCTTCAATCGTATTTAAAATATCGTTGGTGAGATTTATATGCGGTGAACCGAGTAAACCAAAAAGTCCACTTCTTTGACCATCGGCATTCTCTTCATCATTATCGTTACCAAGCATCAATTTGGACACGCGATCTATAGTATGGGACAAAGTTTTCTCCAACATAAACATTCCAAAGAGAGTACCAACCTTCGGATCCATTTGATTGGTTGCATTTGAAGCCGACAGCATCTCTTTCAAAACTAACGAGTCATTCATTATTTGCTTTTCTTCAGCCGTGTTCAATTGCGAAGCAACATTTTCAGATTCATTGGCCACGTGGTTTTCTTGTTTATGCTTCTTTCGATTTTCTTTAAGAACTTCATAAAATAAGTCAAACAAATCAACAAGATTGGCGGTTGAACTGACATTTATTTGATCGGTTTCATCTCGATCGGTTACATTTAATTTTGCGATCGTTGCAAAACTTTTATTTGTTGCAATGACTTCGTCCATTGCATCTATAAGATCTGCAATGAATTTTCCATCTATTTGTAGAGTAATATTTTGATTGTGTGACATTGGTGTGGGTTCGGTGGTAGTAGGCATTTCATTTTGATGAATAGAAACCGTTTTTGCTTTGGTCGAAGTAGTTTCATCGGAAGACATTGATGTCTTCACTATAGCTGCCTCACTACACTGTGTATGACTGCTTGATAAAATTGGCTCCATTTGTTCATTTGATTCACTTAGAATTTCCCGTAAATTATCGATTTTAGATTGATTTAGTTGAGAAAATGTGACACCAGTTTGTAGATTCACTTTATTTGATATTAAAAGTGATCGCAAAAATTCGCGACAATTTTCCAAATTCATTCGTAGTTGTGCCATCGTTTTTTCGATTTTTTTTTGACGTTCAGCTCTATAATTCTCTAAATCCATACCGGTAATTTGGACAAGTAAACAACGTTTTGTGCGTTCCGTGCAATTGCATTCATTTAACATAGATAGCCGCTTCCCATCAGACAGTGCTAAGCCAAGTTGTGCTTCGTCGGGCACAAAACGAACGGATTCTGTAAGTGATGGTTCAGATGCACCATCAGCATTCTGATTCCATTCGGAGACGATAGCTCCTCTTAAATTATACTCAACCACGTGGCTGTCACTGTTTCGAATGACATAAAAGAGTGCATGACTGTTTGGTTTCATTTGCATGGATCGATAATCGCCATTTTCACCGAACTGTACAGCATGTTTCAGTTGATTATCGTTTGGATTAAATCTCCAAATAAATGCTCCAGAAAATGGGCAGTTTGATTCAATTGAGCCATCATTGTTGCTTATCAAAAACAATTGATTTTCCGGATCTAAAACATGGATCCATTGATAAACATCACCGGTGTTCAATGTACTAACCGAGTTGTAGGTTTTATTTTCCATATTCCATGCATACACCATTGTTTCACATCCAGAATTTATCAACATGTAATTGTGATCGAAGAAGGCAAATAAATAAATCGAATTGATTGCATTTTGTGTGTCAATCGTGAATGCTGAGGAAAAATGTGACAGGAAAAATTGATTGTTTTGGGTTTCTTGAATTAACTCTTTTGCCGTTTGGCACTTATGCTTGAATATTTCATGATGTTGCTTATGAAATTGATCTAAATTTCCTATAAATTGATTTACATCCATGCCGTTCATTCCTTGATCCACGGTCAATATGTCAACCGCAGCATGTTTAATCAGCCATGGCGCAGTCACTACTTGTGGTGTTTGTTTAAATCGTAGAAATGAATTTTCATACCACTTATCAAAGTTTATGCCCGATATAAGGTCATTGGTATAGAGCCTGTCGACCGCAACCGAACCAAATGATAACGGCGAGTCAACAATGATATTGCCTTTTAGTGATGCTGCCAATTTTATATCACGACCATTAACCAATCCAGCAGTTTCAAGTTTTGATAGTACACGTACCGATTGAAAAATGGTCGGTATTGAGATGTTTTGCGTACCATACACCTTTAAAAGAGAAAGAAATAACATTAACATCAAAGCTATGAATTTTAAATGCAAATCATATGTACATACCATGAGTGTATTTGCACGTTCTTTCGGCAAATCATATCCTGAGACGAGTCCGCTTGTTTTGATTGGTACAGTAGAGTAAACATAATTCAAATGAACTGGTTTATCAAATGCTTGAGGTGTATTCAATGTGAAAATTTCTTCAACGGGATGCTCATTTAAGCGATGTGTGTCTATATTACTCGATTCAAATGTGCCTTCCGGAAAGGTGGCTGTGCCATCAAAATTGAATGGTTTATCGATTCGGATGGTATTTTGAACCAAATCGGCAACTGTAATATTGTTTATTGATGTGGTGGTTATATCTCCTGTAATATTCATTCGTGGTGCTATAACAGGTGCTGCAAATACAACATCTGAATAAATGTCAACCGGTTCGAGTTGATCGATTAATACGACATTTGACAAAAACCTCTGAACATCAATCCCATTGTATTTGTTAATATTGATTCCATTTTCAAAGTTAACTGAATTCTTAAATGTTTTTGTACCGATGATTCTTGCTGGTCGATCGGTTCGAATGATGCCTTTTAAATGCTCATGTATATTTCCGATGTCATTATAGCCACCTTGCACATAGAAATGTTTAATGGCAATGCTTTGATTGAAAAATACATCATTCTTCAATGTAAATGATGCGGTTTGTTGATTAAAGCTATAATTACTTAGCCTCTCACCCGACACACCATTCAGCGTACCTTTAACATTGAGATTTGGAATGGTTACATCGCCAATAATTCGAATCGAATTGAGAATTTCTCGATTAAAATTTTTCGTCAGTATGTGATCTACTTGAATTTCATTAATTGTAGTGACTTTAGCATTGTTGCTCACAGTAACATCTTCATTAAAAATGGTTGTACCATAAATTCTATTCATTTTGGCTGATTTACGTACTAAATTATTGACAAAATCGTTGAAATTTTTTTCACCATGCAGACCAATTATATTCAATTTGCCATTCACAAAAATTGGATCCAAAAATGTTATCGGCAAATCAATATTATTTGTTTGATCCAAAGGTATTACGTTCGCTTTGACCTCTTCAAAATCATAACCGTTTACATCGCTCAATAGAATACTTCCATTGACAAACATTTGATTGATATCGACATGTGACCCATTGAGCATTTGTTCATTTGTTTCAAAATTTCGCAGATTTTTTACAATTGTCTCGAAATCGTAGCCATTCAATTGGCTTATGTTGACGCCATTTCGTAACACTGCTTTCGGTATATAAACTGGTTTCGTGAAATTCTGCCGATGATTCTTGCTGAAATGTGATCGAATCAAGTCGGATAACTGGAAACCGTTGATTAAAGATTGTCTGTTGCCTTTTATTACACCATTTACGATCAACTCATTGACGTGCAAACTATTGAGATTTACGTTGCCAGTCAATTCGAAATCCCCATCAATATCGATAAAGTCATGCACCTGAATAAAAATGGATTTTAATTCCAAAATTGAGTAAAATTAATACGGCAAAATGAAATGGATGTGTGCAGCAAATATGAAAGATATTATAGTCTTAAAATACTACTAACATCGATGTTATTTACAGTTTCCAAAACATCCAATTGAGTGGCATCTATGCTCAAAAATTCACCATCCTCAAATACAAGTTCAGCATCAGTGTATTGTTCACCTATTGTACGAAATATTTTTTTAAATCTATAATAGTATAATAAATATAGATTTTAAATTTTACCAAACAACTTCAACGAATTCATATCCACTTCCGTAACATTAATGAAATTGAATAAACCGTCTAAATTCAAGCGCTGAAAATACACATTACCACGCAATTTGCTTACATTAAACGTTTGCATTGTGTCAGTGGTAACAAATTGTGAAAATGGTGTGCCATTGATAAGATCCGCTGTGAGTCGAATATCGGCTGCTTGTACCGTTCCGAATCGTTTGAACGATGTGATTTGTGGATTTGGTTCATGTTTGTATACTATATCGCTTAGGACCTCATCCAAAAATATATCATTTATTTTATTACGAACATAGATTGGCCCTTCGATTTCAAGCGTATCTATATGAACTGTTGCACTAATTTGACGAGTTTCTTGTAATGTTGGATTTGACAAAAATTCATCAAGACGACGACCCGATATTGTTGCATTTGGACCCATCTATTGCAGGTACATATACGAAAGAAAAGCGTAAACAATTTACAGAATCGGTGAAAACGGAATGTAAAAAAATGCCATACCTCCAAAGATTCAGTAACTTCCAACTTTCTGAAGGTAGTGGTGCCGCCAATGAATTGTGTACCGTTCAGTGTCACAACTCTTGATAGATCGACTTTATTGAAATCTTCAAAGCAATCCATTGCTTCGGTTACTATTCATTTTTTTTTAAAGAGAAAGATTGAAAAAATTTAGCGTTAATTCGCATATATTTGTCGTTAATAAATGAAATTGTTCAATGTTCATACTTAAACTGTTCTTGAAAACTTTGCGACCAGTTACAACAATTTCCTCTGTCGTTTCCGTGGATATGTAACCATTTGGAAATGGTAATTCGTTCAAATGATTTGCAGACAATGCGCTTTCAGCTATTACATCCTATAAAAAACTCATAATAAATAAAAATAAAATCTGAAGTGATGTGTATGCAAACGTGAATAATATACTTACGCCAATAATTTCAATATCATCGACGGTGTTTGGTAAATGTTTTAAAATTATTTGATTGATGAAGTCTTTCCACTGGATTCCGTTTATTTCATCGAATGTTAGATCGCCTTTGATAGTTGTTGTATCGGTTGTTGTTTCTAATCCAAGTTGAGCATTGGCAAAATTTTCTTGCAACCGTTCAATAATCTCTGCGTCGATTGGTTGATCCAATACAACGGTATCCAAACTTAAATTACCGTCTTCCACAAATACAAAATCATCGATTGGAATATCGTTAATGTATTGTACATTCAAATCGCTCACATTGAATGATTTTAAATGCAATTGCTCACTGGCATCGTTATCCTCTCGTTTATTTCGCTTTAGCTCTGCGAGTATTTTTAGACTGGTTTCTGTTTCGTTTAAAACATGAAAAAATTCATCGACAGTTTCCTTTGTAAGCGGATCATTGCCCAAAAATATACCCTCCGTTGGAACGATATTGCTTAGATCAATATTTTTTGTATAAATTGTATCGAGCGTTTGATTTTTAATGGTAACTTCATCCATTGCTCCTTTTGGAAAGCTGTTAATTACGTCTCGTGCCTTTAGCAATACGTTATTACGTGTTTCAAGCATAATAACAACTTCAGATAAAAGCTCAAGCAAATGATCGTTCATTGTGTATGAAGCAGGCAATAGTTCAATTTCTAAATCGAATAAACCAGATGGGGCATCTTGTCGAGGCACCAATATCGAAATGGTCCGATTTCGTTGAAACATGGTTGCACCAATAATTCCCAGTTCACGGTATTCATCAAGCATACAAGCGATTCCCGAATCTGACATTCGACCATTTATATAACACGGCACTTGTAGAGCCGGATGAAATGCGTGACCATTCCAAATTAATGCTTCCATAAATGCATTCGTATGTGATCCATAGTCGATACGATGTTGAATGAACAGAATTAGATCATCACGATACGTACGTGCTGGAACGGGTAGAAAAAATTCAACGTCACCCCAACTCTTCGATAAAATCGTTTGATCGATAAATTTGCCGCGATGATAGCGTAAGATTTTGGCATGTCTTCCACCGATTGTTAAATATGAATATCCGCCCATTTGGAATCCCGATAAAATTCGCGCATTTTTTGATTCAATTTTGGTGTAATACTTAAAATGTGAATCCTCATGTTTATAAATGACGGCATGTGTTGTTTGCGGAAAACAAATGAACGTTTCATGTCCACTTTGAATGAGTGCCATATTTAGTGCCCGTGATTTTAACGATAAAGTTTGACGCAAGAAAAACACCTCTTCATTCATATCAAATCGATATAAACTGGCAGCCGAACCATTATGCAGATCGGTTATAATCAACAACGTATCTGAATTATCTATAACAAAGTGATGCAGGTATTTTGGGAGATTGTTCGTCGGCCTAGAAAAATCGCAATAAGATTTGTAAAAAAATTGACCAACATTTTTAGTTGTATATAAAAACTAGGGGCTTATCGCACTTTCAAAAATGGAAATTATGAACATCATTTGTTGATGTTAAAGTTATATTGTTCACTTGGTTATTCATATTATTTTTCTCTTGATTTTGTTTTTTGCTTTATTAAAAAAATAATATTGCCAAATGTTTTAAATTCTAATTTTTCTTTTGTAAAGAAAATGAATTTTTATTCAAAAAATAAATAAATATTACATTACAAGTATTCTCCATAATCTACTGTCACTGCTCGTGGCGCTGTACTCAAATTATTCACGCCACATTCGTAAAAAATTGTCAAAAATGGTCAAAAATTGTCAAAAGTGGTACGAAACCGTTCAAAATGGCGCACAATCGCCGATAAATGTTCATAATTGTCATTTTTGAAAGTGCGATAAGCCCCTAGATATAAAAATAAAATAATAACACTTACCACATCCAAATGATTTCCATTTTATCCATTGCTTCATTGACCCGAAGAAAAACCAGTTCATTTTGTATGCTCACAATTACAATGCCATCAATAGAACGCTGAGTTTGATTCCAGAATGTAAATATTTCGAAAAATGTCGGCTTTGATAGCATTGGCACTTCAACTTTCAGTTTGTAAACACCATTTTTCTCTTGAACAAGTACAATACTTGTATTTGTCATACCGATCAGAGCATGTGATTCTCGTTTATGGCGTTGTAATGTTCGCCACGCGCGTACATTTTCACCAATCTTAAAACTCGTATCCTCTTTTACCGATGTTATATTCAATTCTTCTCTCACCTTTAACGGCGTCAATTCAATGTATTTATTTGCAATTAAACAGATTTTGTATAATAATTAATAACAACATTACAAATCGGTAAAATTTAAATATTTGAATCCAATGCTTACCTGATTCGTTTCAATCGATGGAACTTCTACACTATTCGCATAACTTTCTACCGTATTCGAAACGATACCTTCATTTGCGAGCTGCTGAGCTGCTTTGGCCATCATTTTTTCAACCACATCGTCATCATTATCACCTAGATTGATTTTTTCCTTCATCGATGATTCATTGTCGCCCGGCAATGGATTTATGAGTTTTTCATCAGGTGACGCTTTGGGGCTCTTTGAATCCTTATCAACATATGAGAAATCACTACGTGCACTACCAATTTGTGGTCCTGCATCTCCAACCAAATTTTGCCAAAAACTGTTAAAGAAATCACCATATTGAGAAAAGTTTGGTGGAAAATTTCCGGACGATGGCGGTGGATAAGGACTATATTGTGGTGGTTGTTGTGGATAATAATATGACGGAGGTGCATGTGTGGGTCGTGGCGTATTATATTGTGGCTGTGGTGGAGGCCGAGGTGTAGTGTATTGTGACCGGAAAGGATTATATTGGGTTGGCCGTTGTTGTGTTGGTCGACGGTTTGGCGATGGTGGCGCTTGATTTAGTCGACTATTTTGTTGGCTATTTTTATATTTCACTTCAGACGCCGAATGTACATAAATGCCATGTTTTACAGCATTATTAATTGCAGTACGCAAATTGGCTGTTTCTTGCAATTGTTGTAATGAAATGCGATTACTTTGCGGCTTTTTTACTTTTTTCATAGAATTTTGATCCAATAAATAGTCGGGCAGTACGATAGGTTTGGCTGCTGCGCCAACTGTTTCGTCTGACTGTGACAATGCTACACTCGAAACAGATGGTTCGGATGTGATACATGGCATTGCGGCTCCCACATTTTCCAGTTCGGATGATTCCGTTTCGTCACCGTGGTGAATACTTGTTAATGGCGCCAAACTAATCCCTTTCGATAAACCAGTACTAATCGAAGATTTATATGTATCCAACAATGATGATAGTTTTGATTTGCCTTGTAATATCGAGCTGCTCTGAACAGCTCCCAACACTGGACTCTCCAACTTATCCGATAAGGATTTTTCAAATGTCGTTTTAAGTTTATTGAAAGAGTCGAGCAATTTGTCTGAATAAAGTCGTTTAATGCGTTCCGGTGTTTCCATACCATTTTCATTGTCCAAAATTACTTCCTTTCCATCAATTGATGCCGCCACATGATGCTCCTGTTAAACATCAAATTTACATAATTCGATTGAAATAATCACAAAGAAGCGAGTAATTTTCACTTGCTACAGTACCGCTACACAACGCCATAAATGTCATAACCTAACAAATTTCGTTTTCATTTGACGCGCATAATACGTGTCTTAAAATTACGTGAGAATTTATTTGTCAATTAAATCGGCTTTTATGGGAATATTTCTTTCCGCGTTGATTGCAATTTAATTACTTTGTAAATATACCATGAATAGAGAAATACATACCGATTTAGTATCATCGATGTTCGTACTGTCAACATATTCAAGAAGCCAATACAGTAACAGGCACAGCCATATAAAAATGATGATTTTCGACATCTGTTTTCTCTGTGTTTTTTTGTTATTTTTCGTTGAAATCTCACAATTTGTAATTTTTGGGAAAAATTTGAAAACAATAAACTACCTAAACAATGGACAAACTTTTAAAAATGATATTATTACTTAATTGAAAACAACAATAAAAGAAAAAAAACGTGTGTTATTTTTATTACATGCAAAATGGAATGAGTATAGACGTAAAAAATAGAGTTTGTGTGCTATAACTCTCATTTGAAAACGCCTGAGATTTTGGCGACTCTACAAAGTGTCATTTATGCTATGCTGCGTTACAAGCATAGAACACAAACAGAACAAACGCTTTCGACTGTTTGGTCTTATGCGTGTATGTGTGAAAACGGTAAGAGCGTACACAATGCATTTGTTGCTAGCTTTCGCATAATATTATTATTATTATGAAAAATCATTTGACACACTTTGACGAAGAATTGATTCGAATTGCAGTTTGGTATTTCCATGAGTTGTGCTCGTTATGCTAATTTCTAACGCACACTGGATTGTTAAAAATTAGGCTTCATCTTAATGTTTCCAAGAAATATCAAATGGAGTTAGACAAAAATATTCATCTTATATGTTTAAAAATAAACAAATACATTTTTTCGGCCATGATCCAAAATACGATGTTTTTAAATGGAATTTAGTTTTGAGATATTTGATAAGATTTGGGGAAAGTCTATATGGATTTTTATATGAAATTTATTCCATTCAATCTGTTTCAATCAGTCCCATGTGTTTTGCGTACGCAAGACTTATTCCCAATGTGAGTTTTAATTTTCGAGTTTTGACAACCAATTGTGATCGCTCAAGTTAACGAATTTCTTCATTCCGTACCATAAGTATTTATTTTAGACGAGTATCTTCGAACATGCTTGACTCTTTTCATGGAGTTTTGTATTTCACTCCGTTGCGATTAAAATGAAAGTATTATATTTTACAAATACAACGGAAAAGCATTGAAAACTTGATATTTCAGATTTTTAACATCATTTGTGTAATTTTTTTTTGTAAATTTGATCTAATGCTGACACGCTGCTTTTCCCACGCTTTTCTGAAATGTTGGAATTTTCTCATTCAAATGATCATGATCTTTATAAATGTGAATATTTGCTTGCATATTCAAAGTCTCATAAGATTATTGGTGTAAAATAATGTCGCATTTTTTTGCCTATCATTGTTGCAAACAGTGGGAAGAAAAAAAGATGATTGCAAAGTTATACTGTTATGCAAGCAAACTATGAGCAAAAACTAGAAGTGAAATATGTCAATATTGCCTTTTCTTGTTCTGTTGGTGATGATTAACAACACATATAAAATATCGTATATACCGTGAAGCTGCTGACTTTAATCATAGTCAACTATTTCAGCTGTGATTCATACATACCTATAGGTATAGCAGCCTATTACAATACAATCCCCACATTCACCGGCTTACCTGTGCGCGACTCACCTTTTGCGTGTTGTTTGTTCGCGCTAGTTCAACACAATCGATTCAGTTGGTCGCCAACTGTTGATTGGTAAAGAAGTTGCGTTCTCGCCGAAATAGACAAATATTTAAATTTCTGAACATTTGGTTGATATTACTAAAAAATTGTGACTTTTATGAAACTAAACACTCTCCATACAAATACGTAAATCTTAGTTTATGTTCCACATGATTTGCTTTGCAAAGTATTATCATTTCGTGTTTTTTTGTTCGGTCGTCTACAAATTGAGAAGTCAACTCGGCATTGAGTCGAGCGTGCGTTTTTGCAGAGAAAGTTCCGTCAAATACTCATATCGTACCATAATACACCATTGATTTTTATCGATGCGTGCGCGCCAACGTTTTCGGATTTGTCACGTATTCATTTGAAAATTGATTACACCGACTGCAGAATGATGGACAATTGAACGATAAATTAGTATAAAATAATATAAAACAAAGTTGTATACAACAAAGTGAAGAAAGCACAAAGACCAATAGAAAATATCTAGATTTCGAATTCGTCATTTGGTTTGGATTGCTAGTGGTGCGTGAGTGGGCACAATCTTTTCTTTGCTAGTGAAAAACTGAGTCATTATTAATACATTTGATACGGAAATTTCACATCACATGTAGCGATAAATTTTTTTGACCAAAATTAACTGATGAGGCATCTGAAGTGAGAGAGAAATTGTGATTATTTACATTGGACTGACAAAAATACCACACATTCATTAATTGTAATTCATATGCGTGTGTGACAAGTGTGAAATGCTATTTATGTAAAAGAGTTTTAAAAAAACAAACAGAGACATTGATTGCTGCTTTCCATCAGATTTGTAACAAATCGACTGGATTTTAAAATTTGTGTGCCTAATAAACGTAAAATTTAAAACATCGAGTGTATAAAAGCCAACGAATTCAGATTAAAGGTAAAATTAAAACGTACACACGACAAATGCTCAGAAATTAGCATTTTAACGCTGAATTCAATCGCGAAATATCCGATTAATAGACCATAAAAAAAGACTTTGCGTTTAATTATCATTCGAATGAATATTGTTTCGTAAAAGAAAGGAAAAAACTTGTTTCACTGCAAGAGAGGTGGTCAATTTTTAGGTCAATGCAATTTCGAATTATCATGTCAAGTCGATCTACCTCCGATATTTTTTTTTCTTCTTTCTGTCGAACTACCAAAAACGATGTGCACGTACATTTACGCCGTCAACGTAGCAATAGAGAATGATTGTGTTGAACTTCAACGCAACCAACAAGTTTCAACTGGCTCAACGACGGAAAATCCGCTTGCATTCAAAAACATGTAAGAATACAACAGTGCATTGCGTGAGTTAAAGAGTCGAAGCGAAAGAAAATGCGTAAAGTCCGGTTTGGGTCAATAACATTCCAGTCCGCTGAGCAGAGCCAAAGCTAACTCTATCACCATTAGTGTGGAAGTATTAGTTAAAATAAGTCAAACGTGGTATACATTATGGATAAGTAATGCGTAAAAAACATATAAGAAACCGTAAAATATGTTTATTTTGTGCAAAGATAAAATCCGTTAGAAACATTACTATTTATTTTGTGATATGTGCCATAATTTATTCACATTATTATATGAGCATAAGTAAAAGATAAATCTTTTGACGTTTTTGCGGTTTGTTATTACAATAACGTATCTTTCATAACACGTACAGGTTAACACACTTGGTAAGAACTCGTTAAGCAGAAAACAAATTTTCCATTTGTGGAAAATGACAACTCAATCATTGTTTTCATCATAATTTATCGATTGGCCTGCGAAAACAAATGTGCTTATTTGGTTTGTAAACTTTTTCGTACGGTTTGTGTGAAGCGTAATTCATATTAAAGATCAATGCGCCTCATGACATTGACGTTTTTCTGTAGTATTTCCTTCACCTTTTGAACTGCTTTCAAATGTAAGCGATATGAAATTACCAACGATCATTTAAAGTATGTGCCGAAAAAAAATCATTCTGTTGAGATCACCAGGAGGCCAAGGAAGCGAGACTATTTGTGATTCAAACATACTATCAAAATACTTCCGTAATTAGGTGTTATTATAACTATTATCGATGAAAAAAATGTTGGTAATAATGAAATAATAAGCAAATATTTTCGCCGTGGAAATCGCCATTAACGAGTTTATTTATAAAATTTGAATCGAACAAAGAAATCCGATCACCTCATTCGGTGATCGAAAATGACCAAACCGCATGATAAAGATTGAGAAAGTTGTTTTACATGACCTTTTGTTTGCACACTTTTCGTTCGGCTACTGTGTGTGTGTGCGTAAACGTAAAGTATCATCATCAAGGTTTTGTCAACATTTCTTTTTTTTCTTTGTCTGCTTTTAAATGCGGCCGAAAACTAATTCGAAAAGTGAAAAACAACGGAACGGTCCATCACAGTTGAAAGTAATTTTTTGTCTTTCTTCATTTCTTCTCCACATTTTCGGAAAGCAAAACACTACACAACACAAGTTAATGGCATTGCTTTATTCCCGCTAATGATGATAAACGATATTGGACTGAAGTTTGTAATTGGCACAACTACAAGTGACTTGAAGTGACCATAATAAAAGTATTTTTCTGGATTTTTTTTTCTTTGATTTAAAAAAATCGTCAATGATTCTCTTTTTTGTTTAAAAAAAAAGAAATTTCTCATGCGTATTCAATTATAAAAATGGCTTTTACTTTCAATGACACACTGTCGTTTGAAGTAAAAATAAAAATAAAATGTTTTTTTTTATTTATCGTTGCCTCTTCATTCTGCTTATCTCGAATAAATTATGGCTATTAAACGAATGAGACCATTGTTTCAGCTCATCATATCTCAGAAGATTTGCTTCGTTTATTTGGATTTGCTTTCGTTTAAGAATTAAATTGAAAGACAGTTTTGCTTTGTTGATTTCAATAGAAAGATAATGAGAACATTCATTGTTAGTTCATTGGGCTATGTTCTAAATATAAATATCATTTAAAGAAGAAGAAGAAGAAGAAGAAGAAAACAATACCGTGTAAAAGTTCAAACAAGTGAAAATAACGAAAATTTCAAATGCAGTTTCTTTTCATCAAGCGAGCAATATTGCATAAAGGCGTAATTTGAATTTAATTTACCATGCAAATCAAACTAGATGCTTTAATTTTTTTATTATACTACCTGTAGAGAGTTGGATTTTCAACAATTTTTCGTTTACGAAGCATGTAAATTTGTATACAAATCGATTTGAACCGTTTGTTGTGTAACATATATACTTGTGGAAATCCAATGGAAATTGATGTTTGCTTTATTACAAACATTATTTTTTTATACTGTATTTATCATTTTTGCGGAACATCCGTTTTATGCTTATGTCAAAATTACATTATGTTACCGGAGAAAAGTATGTGATTCTTCCGCTTTTAAAATAAAAAATCATCGATTTTTTAATGAAACATTTTATTGTACAATTATGAAGACATAGTGAATCATTGCATTGCTCCATAAGAATGTAATACTTTAAAACTTTTATCGTCTATAATAATAATCAATCGATAAATTTCAATATACAAAATGTTGCGTAAAAAATAGATTGATTTCAATTGCAATTTATCTAGATGTGACATGTTCTGGTGGAATATGACCTGAGTCACCGAGTAATCGTAGTGTAACACGGCCAGATGGCTGAATGGAGATCCATGTAATTGATGCATGATTCAAGGAAATTCGAAGCCAAGCCTCAGCCGGTATTTGAAGTGCTCTGTACAAGAGAAATTATCATTATTCAACAAAAAAAAAGGTTTCCAATTAAATTCTGTTACGGCCACTCACCGACACACAAAATAACGAATAACATTGGCATGACAGACCATCAATGTGTATGAATCATTTTGTTGTTTTGCATTTGCACGATGAAAATACTTGCGAAAGCCGGCTTCAATTTTTTTTAATGAAAGAGAAGAATCTGTTGATTGATTAAAGTGACATAATATTTTTTAACGCTTACCTTCAATGCGAGCCCCATCTTGGAAAAACTGCTACATTAGAAACAAATAAAAAAGCAATTAGTACTTGGAGCAGATAACAGTCACACAAAAAAATATGGCATGTGCGGTTAATAACCGCATCCTCATGTGATTTGGCCGCATATTTTTTTGTGTGTATAGTATGCACTGCATACAGGCATATTGTATGAGTTGAGTTGTACAAAAATAAATAACGATAATATTAAATATTGAAAACTAACATGTGGCTCAGGATGCCAATGCCCAATTTTCGGCTGTGGAGCAATGGGAGCACCTTCTTCAATCAGCGAACAATTTTCAATTGGTATGTTTGCAATGTGTGTTGATATAATTTTTCCCGTCTCTTGAGCTCTTGTCATGGTGGATCGAATCATTTTGTCAAATGGAATTTGCAACAATTTCAATCGTTCACCAGTAAATGCGGCTTGTTTACGACCAACTTCAGTTAGAAAACGATCTCCATCTGTTATCCCATCCAAGTTATATTGTCCATGACGAATTAAAATCAAGTGTCTTACGGCCTTTGGCTTAACGGCTTCTAATCGTTCATTGAACTTGTTTTGTTCTTCTGGTGTTGCATTTGATTTTAATGGTTTCACTAAACTGGATGGTTCACGACTGAAAATTAAAATTTATTAATAAAGATATAATAGATATTTAGACTGATTTTTCACTTACTGATCCCAATTGAAATTCCATTTGGCTTCTGGCGGTACAACGGTATTTGTTGTCCATGACGTATAAACTAGCGCTTCACGGCTGCGATTGAGATACAGATAAACACCGATACCGGTACCACAGCCAACAGCTACTGCTGTCAAACTTTGAATTTTTGACCAATAACTCATTTTCAACGTTTTGTTTTCTTAACTATTTAAACATAAACTGAAATTATTGAAAATTTTAATTTAAAAATGTATTATTTATTAATGTCATAGCAAAGAGATATGGTAATATGGTTCATAGAAAGTTGACAAGGTTGGAATAGATATCATCTATTATACCGTTCGAAACACCTACCTTTATGTTGTGGTTCAGCGAAAGTTGCTCACTTTTATAAAACAGAAACGTAATCACGTAATTTTTCTTTGATTTGGTCAGCTTACAATATTTTAATCCGTAATAAACAACCGCGTTTCTGTATACGAATGCGAAATTTTTCTTTGTATTAGTTCTAGTCGACAAACGCGTTCTCTCTCATTTAACTAATCTATACATATGATGAATGTTTAAAACAAAAAAAAACTGTATTATTATTTATTCTATCGAAAATATATGTGCGAAAAAATTGAATAATTCCTTAGAATAACGATCAAAATAAAAAATTCTTATGAGAAGTACCATTCAGTGCACACATTCAGTACATACAAAGAAAATTCACCAATTAAAAATGTCATGTGTGTTTGAAGCTTGGCTATTTTTGACACTTAACCAAGACTCATCGTATGCAATGACAATAAGTGACAGCACACCGGCAATTCAAATTTGGAATTTTTCCGTTGCAGCCAAGGCAAATATTTGATTTTTTTTTTGCTTAAATATGAACATTCAACTTTTATTTATTTTTTTATTTGATTTTTTAAATAAAATATATGCTCCTTTTTTTCTTTTATACATACATACCGGTTTGCATACAGTGAGTGCGTTCAAAACTGCTCTTTGCAATATAATACTTGATATAATATCTTTAGGCTAAATTTATTTTGATTTAAATTTAATCGGAGTTGTGTATATGTCAACAAATTATAAATGGAATATTAATCAGATGAAATAAAAAATGTTAAAAATAGGTCATCATTAAAAATGTCGTCAAATCGATTTATAAAAAGATTTATAAAAGTAACATTGAACTTTCAATTGTGGAATGAGAAACTTTTTTTAAACGCAAACCTATTTCGTGCCGTAAAGGTTATCAAATTAACGTTATATCGCCACGCAACATAGATTGTAGATTAAAAAAATGGATTTGTCTTTTTTATTTTCATTTCGAAACATCGTTTCAAGGCTATAGATGTTATATACTGAATTAATTAACGTATTCCATGGAGAATAACTGGTAATACCGTTTGGCGGTGATATGATTTAAATTTACCGCTATCACATTATAAATATTATATGAATCATTTGCTTAAAGTACAATAGTACATGACTTGAATAATCTTTATTTTCATCTCCTTTTTTTTCTGCCAGTCCAAAGTCTAAAATTAAAAATGCCGCGAAATAAAGGTGAATTTTCTTGGTCAATATTCTGGATCTTGCTGCAATTGAGTATAACGGTAGTTATGTCTGCGAATATTCCCTATCTGGACTCGTACGAAATGTATTCCTATAAAGAGCCAAGGTCGATGGGTGACTTAAAAAATCAACATATGCGCCAAGCAATGATCGATGTCACCGAGACAATCAATGAAGTTCAGAAAATTTTACAAAAAGATCCGCGATTACCACGGCTGACACGAGGTGAAATCGAAGATTTATTTGAGATGGTCACGCGGGAGGAATACAAACGAAGCTTGGCAATTGGTGATTTCGAACGTGCTAAGCATATGCGGTCATTAATGTTGGTATTGCCATTCAATACCAATAATTATTCAGAGGAACGTTTAGAGGTCAGTACAATCCAATATTGCCATTCGATTGTATTAGTCTAATTGAATGGGGTAGAATAAAAACTACTTCTCGAAAAATGTTTAAACACGAAACCTAAAAAAAACTTTCAATGAAAAGTGAATCAATTTTTTTTCGTCCAATTAAAGTGAACCAAAAAAAAATTGTTCAATAAAAGTGAACCCAAAAAAAAAATTCATTTTAGTGTATTTTACACTGAAAAAACCGAGTGAAATTTTTTTTTTGGTTCACTTTTATTGAACAAAATTTTCTTGATTCACTTCAATTGGACAAAAAAAAATTGATTCACTTTTTATTGAAATTTTTTTTAGGTTTCGTTTTAAAATAGCAATTTTTCGAGAAGTAGTTATTATTCTACCCCATTCAATTTTTCTAATGAAATTATTCTATTATTGTTTAGGAGCTCTTCACGCAAATGCCTGTCACCAAAATGGTTAACACTGTATCGAAAATTCCGAAACCTCAACGAATTGTCATCCCGGCATCGGCTGAAAATTCAATTTTAGACACAATTGGAGCAAATTCAGAGGTCATAAACATAGGACACCACCAATTACCAACCACATTCAAGCCAAATTTTCCCATTAATATGAAAAACACATACACAGCTCCGGTGACTACTTTCCATCCAAAAGCAATGGCAGCTCAAACGATTCCACAATTGTATCCAAAATCAACTGTTCAAACGGTTTCCACGTTCCACCACCCGAAAAGTACAATTCATCCAAAAGTAACGCTGCAAAGTGTTCAACAACAAAAAACAACATTTGCAATTCCATCAACATTCCATCCGAAAGCCACACTTCAAACAATTTCATCAAATGATATTCCAACCGAGATTATTTCAACTTATCATCCAAAATCGGTTAACGTAAAAGTGACAAAAAATACTAAGGCGCCAACTAGTCAGCCAATTAGCACAAATCAAAAGTTTAGCAGCAGATATAGTGCACCGACAACGTATTTCACTCCAACTGTACCGCCAACGATTAGACCGAATGTAAAGAATATGTTAGCCACGATTGGCTTAGAACCAGATGATAATTACACACCAACCATTTCAATTGAATCACAGAAATTGGAAAATCTCCCGGGACCAATAACAACAACAACGACAACAACTACGACGACCACTACAACAACCACTCCGAAACCGGAACTCACACCAGAATTACAAGAGTTGTTGGCTTCATTCGGATTGCTTACAGACGAAAGAGCACCACCGCATGTAACAGCCGGCCCATATCAAGATGAATTTCATCCAATTTTCCCGAGCTCCCTAAAAGATGAAACGTTATCGGTCAGCGAATTTAAGCCATTGCCAAAGTCGGTGACCGCTTCGGACATTGAAGATAAAGCATCTGCGGGAATTGAAAGTTCATTCGAAATAAAAGGTGATGATTTTTCATCGTTTAAGCCATTACCATTGCCCGAAGAAAAACCAGCCAGCGATGACGCATTAGAAAAGTTACTGAAATCATACGGATTGTTAGAGGAAGATGAACGAGGTAGCAAAGCAATTGATGCTGAAATTGAACGGCTCAATGAGGATGATAATGATGATGGTGATGATAGCAAAGAGAGTGGCAGTGAAACAATTGAAGTGACAGTAAAACCATACAAAAAAATGTCCAATGTGCCGGAAGTTGATGTAGGCTTTTTATCACCAGATTTGGCAAAGGTTCTTGGTAATATGGGCGTTAAAAATGTGAATAAACAAGAAACAACTACAAGACCATTTATTTCACGAAGAATTGATTCAACGGCATCAACCGAATACGCATCAGATATGGAATACACAGCTGGTCCGGCAATGTCATCAACCATGAAAGATGACTACCAAAAATTACATTTACTTCTTGATACCATTAAACAATTGGATTCGTTGAATGCCAACTTAACTGTAGAAGAATTGGAGAAATTAAATTTAAAAAATTTCAATTTAAGCAAAGACACGTTGCTTCAGAGTGTTGGACCCGATCCCACATATGACGTTCAGTCAGCGTCAAAAAATGAAGTTAAACGACAAACCAACACTTCATCAGAACCAACTCGGATCCAATTGGATGTGACAGCCGCATCCACACCAAGTAGTAACATTAAATCCACTGATGACGACATTACAAAATCAACTGATTCTACCAGCACTGTTGACGATACAGTGACACAATCAGGCGATGACATTGACGCAACGCCGAAGCGCGAAGGTAAAATTGAAGATTTGGAAAAAGAGATAGAAACAGAAACAGAGACCGAAGCATCATCATCATCCACATCTTCAACGAGTACAACCGAAGAACCTAGAAATGGTAGCATAAGCGATTTGGCTGGTTCATTCGGAGGCAATGATGGACTCGATATAACTTCGGAGGAACCATTACCACCCCCAAGAAAGAACGGATTCTACTTTTTCTCGGATTGGAATTCATTTCTCGAGGTCGGCGAAGATCCGGATAAAGTTGTAGTGAGGTATACATCTTCTTGAATCACATTTAGAAACATTTATTTAACTTCTTTTTCATTTATTTTATTTTCGTCAGGTTTGACCCAAAGATTGGAGATCCAACTCAATTCGTACCTATTAAAATTCCATAGAATACATGATATTGAATGATGTTTGATTTAGGATAGTTTTTAAGATTTCGCTTAGTATGCAGATTATATTTATTTAAAATTTTGTTATCCGTCGAAACAAGTATTAGTAATTTCCGAATTAGTGCAGTACTTACCACAATAAACACATTTGAATTCATTGATCTTTGAAAATTATTTTTAAAAAATGTAAATAATAAAATCAAACGGAGATTAAACAATAAAATAAAATTCAACCTGAAAAAGTGTTTTTTTTTAAATTTAATTTATATTCCAAATTATTTGTAAAAGATCGTTTGTTATATTTTCACTTTATTTTCAGAAAGAACAGATTTTTTTTTCATTTTTTTAACACAATAATTTACACGATTTGAATATTGTGCATGCGGGCCCAATGGACTACTAAGCTATGGCCGTGATTGGAATTGTACTCCATGTTAATTGAATTGGGATTTTGCACTCAGTTCGATAGAATCAGTTAAAATGTTAAAATTTTAGTTTATCTAAATTCTAACCTAAATTTTTAAGTCAAAGGAGGTGACTAAATTATTATTTATTTCCTTATTATGGACTGGCCTCAATGTGAAGCATAAATAAAATAAAACGTATTTACAAGGTCTTGTATTCTCTAATTCTCAAATATAAGTAGAACCAAAAGGTCTATTGCTTAAAGAGCTATTGATTCTGCCCGGCCGCCGAACAGAACTATACGCGATTTTACAATTATTATTTTTCTAGCTTAAATGAATGAATTTCCTGTATTCATTTTGTGATACCTATTGAATAAATCTATTATTATTCAATATATTTAACAGATAAATTCTTAAATGGATACGTTGGATGTCTTAAAATTCACAATTTTTGAAAAATTAAAATTTACGTAAATTTTTAATGGGATTTTTTTTATTCACCCAGATTGATATCACAAAGAGATTCATAAATAAAATCGCGTATGTCTAGGTATGTCTTATGGTTAATCAACTTATAAAATAATGGATGAAAATTGTGATGCCATTTTAAGTTTAAAAAAGAATCTACAAATAAATTATGTTGTGCATGTTCTTAAGTGGCTGCTACACTTCAATACTGTTTAAACTTCCACATGAAATGTTCTCGTTGTTGCGACCACCGAGCCGATGTCGTTTGCTAGATGCAACAGCAGCAGCAACGCGGCTCGGTATTGGCGATCGATTGTGGTGCATAAAACGTGGACTATTTGGAATTGGTAGGCCATTTGTGGCGCCAGTGGTTGTTCGACGTGGTGTACGACGCAACGAAGTTGGAATTGGAATGCGATTATTTAAATCGGTCACTTGTGGTATACCGATTTCCGTTGTCGAACCAATATTCTGCACGGTCGGTAAGCCATTTATCAACGTTCCATTGAAAGGTTGCGGTGGTAATCGATTCACTTGATTACGACGATTGTGATGCTCAGTTCCGGGCGACGGTTCACAATTGTTGTTTTGGATGTGCGTGTGTTGTGGATGATGGTGATGATTGTCCGCGGCAGCCCCAGACGTGGTTGTCATCGATTGCAGAAATCGTAGCTCCATCACAGTGCGATTCTAAAATAGTCACGCTAGGAAGAAATTCTTCAAGTCGTACAACGGAGTCTACTAATCTACGTATAGCCTTTCTGGTTTTGGGATTTTCATTTCGTTTGGACGAAATAATATGGATGGGATGTTTTCATTTTGATTGGCATGCACAAACAGATTATTTATATTATTCAATTAATTGTTATGCGTTTTACTTTTTGACGATTGACTTTGTTTTAATTTTTTAGTAGGATTTTTGGGGTTTATTTTTTGTTGGATTTGGGAATAGACCTTTTTGATTTTAAGTATTAGGCGGCTTCTAAACTAAAGCTACGCTTAAATAAATTCAACATTGAACCAATGGTATATATGCGACGCTATAATAAAACCTGCGCTTAACAGCAATTAAGCACAAGTGTTTAATAGCGTGCGACTCGTTTAAATTTATTGATTTTTCTTTTGATCATCAAGAATTGAATATTATAAAAAACCATTGCTTCATTACCTATCTAGGTTGTTCAATTAGTTGATTGTTAGGTTTGGAAGTTCTGTTAAAAGAATAAGTTCTAGTTCTAGAATATGTTTTGATATGGTCCAAATACCTTATCACCGTCGGCTAAGGGATTCGGTGTTATATTCATATTCATACGCGGTATAACGCCATTTAATCGATTCTTATATACTGGCGAATTGATTCTGCCGTTGCTTCCAATGACGTTTGCAACCGGAAATCCATTGGCTTCGGCTTGTATGTGGTCGGGATGGGATTTGTTTTCATTGGCATCTGAACAGAAAGAGCGAGAACAAAAATTATTTAAAAGTCATTCGATGCAAATGGCTGCAAATCATACAAACCATGCAAACCAGATTTCTTTCGTCGTTTCATGAAGAAACACAAGAAAACGAATGTTAGCAGCAAGATAAAGCAGGTTCCAATCAAACCAGCCACAAGTAAGACATATGGTTTGGGTGCTTTGGCTGCAGTATTGCTTTTTGTTATGACACTTGGATCGATTGGAGCTGGAGTTGACGGCTCTGCAAGCAAAAAAGAATTCAATTTATTGAATGAACAAAAGAAAATAAAGATCAGAGAAATGCACGTACTTAATGTTTTTCCAGTTATAATAGCCATAAAATCGGATGCGGCTGACGATGTAAAACTTTGTAATTTGAATTCGTAAGCGGTTCCCGGTTCTAATTGGTCAATTTGGAAGTAACGTTTTTCCATGCCATCGATTGTTGCTTTCATGTATTCGCCAGCTGTCGATGCTGGACGGAAGTATGCATAAAAACCATCCACATCGATTTGATTGTGTTCAGGTAAAGTCCAGTGAAGTACAATCGATGTTTCCGAGATTGGTTCGACTCTCGTTAGATTTGGCGCTGGCAAATGGATATTCTTGACATCCAAATCTTCATGGCGATGCAATAAAAAGTTTCGTGATGCATTACTCAATTGATTGTCATTGTTTGAGTACACAGCGGCGATACGGAATCGATAATAGTTGCCCGGTTTTAAACAATCCACTTCGTACATAAATGTATTTTTTGGAATATCCACATCGGATGTCATCCATTGGGAGCGTTTTGATGCTTTCGTGGTGCTCCCAAGCAAACGGTATTGGACCTATTTATTATTGATTGTTTTACGATTATTTTTCGATTATTTTAAATTAATTCGATTCTTTTTTTGTGATTCTCCCCTTAGGAATTGTACCTTAAAGAAGAGAATGGATAAACCTTCGTCATGCGGCGGCACCGACCAACGCACCATCACCTTATCATCAGCCAAACGAGTCACATTCGGTCGTGTTGGTGGCACCATAATTGCTATAAATAATAAAAACACAAAAAAAAAAAAAATAAGTAAGAAAATCATTTACGTAAATCGTTTTCTTTTCAGTTAAATGATTAAACTAATGATTGATACAATCATAGCAAGCAACAAACTAAATCTGTTGGCATTAATTTGAAAATTGTTCGAGACGAATGAGTAAAAAAATGTTGTCAAACATGAATGTGCCATAAATGTCAATTTCAAACATTTTGCGGGAATTAGATAATACAAATTTGTAACACCCAATGAATGTAATCGATTTAAGAATATAAAATTAAATAACAAACATGCTGCGAGAGAGAGAGAGAGAGAGAGAGAGAGGGAGATAGATATTTTGAGAAAGGTGAATTTTATGGAGTTGAAGCTGATTTCGTAAAGCAAGTAAACCAAAACGGTTGCAGCAGCAGTTTTATTATAAAATGCTCCAGAATTCATCTTCTTGCAAGGCATGCATTCCATTTCGGTTTGCTTGGCAAACAACAGATGGACATACAGAAAGAACTCCATCTTCTGCTTTGATGTTCGAATAAGCAACAAATTGATGCTTTTGCTGTGATAAATAATTGCAAATCAATTAAGTGATTATGCAGATTAGTATAGTTTATGTGCATTTTGTTTGTGCGCACACTGAGTTGGTAATCGTTTCGTGCCTCAAGGCACTCTTAAAATGATTTTGTACATACGTCACTTTTTTTTCAACTCGCTGCTCCCTTTTTTTCTGACAAGCTTTCGATTTTATCGACCACCGTTATCAAATTCAAATCAGTTTGTATGTGTCACTCAAACTAATTTTTCCACAACTCGCTCTTCTGATGAGCACGATTACGAAATGCAATATAATTTGTAAACACACATTTCCAACAACGAAAAAAACACACGACTTTTTTTGCCTTCATCATCATTTTCATTTGCTTCCGTAAAATTATCTTATGGTATAAAACGAAGAGGTAAACGCTATTGTACTTTTCACTCTAATCAAGACAGAAGACAACGACGACGATCGCAAAGAAAAAAAAAACTGGGGAAAAACCTATAAGTGAACTTAGAAATGAAGCACATATGATAATATGATATGTCTGGCCTGCACAGAAACAAGTGTTCGAGTACGCTTACCCGCACTTGCGGTGTTAGTAGAGACTTTACCCCTCAAAATGAGTTACGCACTCTATTTTACTCTATTTTTGGTGTTAGTTTCATCAAACGTATGTGACGATACACTTTGCAATCATATTCGTTAGCGTATACACAGACTCATATGCACGCAACGAAACCTAAAGGCCTTATTTGCTAAGCACACGATTGTAATCGTGTACGATTCCAATCGTCCACGATTTTCTTATGATCGTCTACGTATATCTGAAAAGCGTTAGATGAAACGTTCCCGATCATGAAAGATCGGTTGGCGATTTGAAAAAATCGTACACGATTACAATCGTGCGCAAATCGTGTCCTAGAAAGTAGAGCCTTAACTCGTTTAACGCATGCGGCAACGTACATATGTACTACACATGTATCTCTTTTTTCACTGTGATGCGTTTACTTCGATGAAACTAACACCAAGTATAGAGTTAAATAGAGTGCGTAACTCATTTTGAGGGGTAAAGCCTCTACTAACACCGCAAGTGCGAGTAAGCGTACTCGAATACTTGTTTCTGTGTGATAGTCATGGTGTTCAGCGGAAAACATGTTTCATTATGTCATCAACAGGAACTAATGACAAAGAAAAATTAGTTCAATAGGAAATTTCTTATTTTCACTTTACCAGCCACTCAATATTCAATGTACAAAATAGAAATGATTGGAATTTCAAAAGGACGGCCAGCCCAACGACTTAAAAACAACCAAAACAATCACGCTTCTACTACTGACCGAATCAAACGTTATAACTATGTTATATTTTATACGCAATGCGCATTCAGTAGATTCAACGCGATTGGAATTGAACACATTTCTTAAATTATAATTGATATTATTATGACATTTTTTTTCCTATATCATTTCTTTTCTCTTGACATTCTTGTCATATTTTTGTTTGCAGATCCACTTTGAATCGTTTGCCGCACGTCGACGGCCTACAAACGATTTTAATCGGTTTTTACGTGTTTTGTAATGCACACATGGCTACTTTTATAAATAGACATCAACGCTCAAATTAAATTTAATGTTTTCGAATTGGGAACGATCTGCTCAATTCCCTGATACGGATGAATGATATATATGTGTTTTGATGATAGAAAAAAAACCAACCAGACCATTTCATGAAGTAAAAAAAAAGAAAACATCTTGGAAAAAATGTTATGTATGGTAAAAACTGAAAAAAAATCACTCATAAAATACGTGCTATGCAGTATGCGCACGTAATAATAATTTTTACTAGAAGAGAAAAAAGTCTGAATTCAATGTGCGAATTATCAAAAACGATAAAATGTAATGCACATTGAAAGTCTGAATGAAAACAAATTACGCAATTGGCCTGAACTGAATACATCATTATCAATATATGCATTTGAATATTATGGATCGATCTTGTCGTTCGTAAACGGTTTGTTGACTTTTTTCTACTCCGAACACAGGCAAGTCCACGGAATAATAATACAACAAATTTCGATTGATTGAAAGTGCCACTGCGTGCGCGCGCACCCGATTGCTTCGTCACATTGACGAATATCAGTGCAAAGCAAAATAACAGGCCGCCGTATGTCTGTCTGAACATGGAACCACATTGCAGATGCATGCATTGCTACAACTATACGATATTTTTATGCGCATATTTTTTTTTCTCTTCTCCTTGTGACATTAACTATTTCCCTAATTTGTTGTTATAGCGATTTTAACCGACTTTTGAATATGTCCATCATGTACGAGCACCACCAAACTCTTATGTGATTAAAAAAAAAGTGAGAGAAATTGCAATGTGATGACCATCGAGCTCACCGATATAAAAGCCAATCCACAAATCAAAGCACAGTCATTAGTTGTAAGCTACTTGATTGAAACTAAATAGATAATCGTGCGCGCGATCAATACGATGGATACGTATTTTGTGAGTGTAATATGATTGAAATTGATTGTTTGATACAGAATTAAGTGCATATTGAAATTCTTTTTTGTTTTCATTGTTTGTTTTCTTGAAGGCATATTTTATTTTATTCGCCACAATAGCCGGCACCTTTTGTGTTGAGCCAATTAATGTGGAAGCAAATACTCAACAAACAATCAAAGAAGCTCAACCGGAGAAACGTTCAATTGGTTTAAGTTCATTGAATGATTGCGATGGACCATATGGTGCTGTTGGTTTGCACGGTGGATTGCATAGCGGTGTTGCTGTTCATAGTGATTTGGCATTAGGACTGCATGGCGGCGCATATGCACCCAGTTATTCAGGTGGTTATTCAGGTGGTTATTCAAGCGGTTATTTGGCATCGAGTGGAATTCTTTCACATGGAGGCATTGGTCATCTTGGTACGTTGGGAGCTGTTGTCGGCTCATCACCAGTTCTTTCCGGATACGCACAACATGCACCAATTTTAGCCTCTTCTGTTGTATCGCATGCACCCGTTTTGGCTGCTGCACCAACTGTAAATCATTTATATTATCCACATCGAATTTGGAAAATATAATTAAATTATAAACATTTTTTAAATTTATTGACTAGGCCATTGCCATAGCACCATCAGTAACCAAGGTTGTAACTCAACAAGTGCCCGTACCCGTCCCAGTTGATCGGCCCTATCCAGTTTTAAAGTAATTTATTTAATGTATTTTTTCATAATTTTTGAGGGAGAAGATACACTCGTACATGATAAGCAAAAAACGCTCAACTTTCCCATCATTTTTGCAGCAAAATTTAACGAAAAAAAATTCTAATCAAATTAACCAAACAAAAATACTTTTTTCAGACCAGTGCCCGTAGCCGTGCCAGTTGATCGGCCGGTTGTCGTACCAAAGTGAGTAGATGCCAAACACCGACTAGCTCCTTGAAATTGGATGATTTTCCATATCTCTCTCTCTCTCTCTCTCTCTGCACACGTATCTAAATTTCAAACTCAAAACATTTGTGTTGACTCACTCCACACTTTGAGCAATTTCCATTAGATTCAAGACAACAATTACACCTTATCACATATATATTTTCTATCGATTATAAAATGTGTTCAATGAATGTTCTTTTATACTTTAAGGCCGGTGGCAGTACCTCATCCAGTACCTTATCCTGTACATCACGTTGTCACAAAGTATATATTGCACACAAAATGCACAATATCTTTTTTTTTATTCATTGAAACTTTGCAAAAGTTAATTATGTGATGAATTTCACATCGTTTTAGAAAAGTTACAGTTCCATATCCGGTGATTGTTCCATCACCATCGGTTTCGTATTCCGCACCAGAAGTGGTCGGTCATGGATTGTATAGCCATGGTTTGTATGGATCTTCGTATGGATCGTACGGATCATTTGGGTCATCTTCTTATGGATCATCTTCTTATGCATCACCATGGTATCCATCTTCTTCTGGTATAAAGGTAATTTCTCCATCATATAAATCGTACTATGGTGGTTATGGTGGTCATTACGGAGGAAGTGGAAGCTATCATGGTGGAATAAGTATTCATGGCGGTGGTTTAGGCCTTAGTATAGGCTCAAAGTATGGATCGCCGCTTAAATTCGGTTTGAAATACGGACATTGGAAGAAATAAGGGCGAACTGTTTTCAACTGAGCAAGACATACTTAACTATTTTTTTGTTCTTTATTATATTTTGTGCCGCAGAATCAATGTTTGCCATTAATTTGTAATATGTTCAATTTCGATTTTTATCCACAAAAGTCCGAAATAATAAATAAATAAATTCTATTTATGTTCCGGTGCATTTTTATTTCTATTTTTATGTTAAATGGAAAGAATAACTTGAGAATTCCGCCTGTGTTTGAATAATAGTCAATAACGCTCACAAATTGTGAGTGTGAGCCATAATATTCAATCATAAAAACCAGAATGAGTGAGTGTTTGTAATGTGTGAATGAAACGAACTCAGTGGCATCGACTGTAAAACTTTAGTCATTCACTCAAACCTATGTGTATCTCTATACACATGTGAACATGTATATACCTCTCATTCTTTGAGTTCTACTCGAAACGTATGACGCACACATATACATGCGGAACTGACAACACATCGCATATGAACGTATAAGAATGAGAGAGACAACCGTATAGTTATAATAGAGCGAAAAACAAGTTTGTGAGCTCAAAATGAACGCACAAATATTTTACGTCCGAAACCAATATCCATTTGACAGTCAGTGAGTAAAGAATTTTTTTCACTTGGCACGAAGCGAGTGAATATTTTGTATTTTAAGTTAAATTTTCTTTTATAAAAGATCAACCATCAAACAAATACTTCTACATTGAGATTTTATTCAATGCTTGAGTGAAATAAATATTAAATTCAGAATTGAACGTTGAGAATTTGGGACATTTCATTAATTTTTTTCCAGATTCGTTTTTTGTTTTGTATTTTGATTTTTGTATAATTGATTTGTAAGGGGCTTCCATTGTTAAGCGGTGAAGATAAATATTTTCTACAAAACGAAAACATAACGATGAATGACGATAAGAAATCGTTGCGTTTTACGGAAGAAGAAAAAAGTGTACTATTCTCATTATTTGGCAAATACAAGGATGTTATTGATATTCGACATCGTCGGAATTCACAGTCTCAACACAAACAAGTCGCACTACGAAAATGTTGGGACTCAATACTTGATTCATTCAATGCACATCCCGATACGAGCAAACGGTCGATGAAACAAATTCAAAAATTTTGGTTAAATTCAAAGTAAGTAGTACTGAAGTTTTTTCCCCTCAAATTAGTTTTTTTTCCTTAAATATGAAACATTAACTGTCGAAAATAATTTCAGATTGAGAAAGCGTTTGCCAGACGATAAAGAAGGTAGTAAAACGTGCGAGAAGCGGTCAAGAATTATCGAAATAAAGGGTTCTCCGTCGAAAAAATCAAATGATGCAGCGTATCAAGAACTAGTTAAAACGTGTAAAGAATCCGATAATGAAGACGACGAAAATTCAGATCGAAAAATGTCGTTGGATACAACCGACGAAATCGCATTGTCTGAAACAAATGTAACGAATGGGGAGCAGTATGAAGACGAACAATATGATCCATTGGGTGATTCGTATTTTCAAAATGATGCAATCACGTTAAAAGTCATTGACGATCCAATTGGTATGATTTTAAGTGATTCTTTTTTAACGATTGTTTTTGGTATTTATTGAATAAATTTTGTTCGTTTAATTTTACGATAGATTTGGATCTTGCAGCACCAGCACCATCAAGTATTGTGACAATTCCTGCGCAAACACAGCGTGGTACAACGCTAGTTACACTCCCTAGCCAAAGTTATGAGCATGTAAAAAAGCAAGAAGCGTCACCAACGTCACAGTCGGCTTCAGTACAACCAACAACTGCCTATATCACCTATTCGCCTTCATCAACGGCCACCCTTGCCAATCAAAACATTCAACTAGTGAAAAGTGCAAATGGAAATTATTTAATTACAACTCCAGCCTCAAACTCGACACCACAAGTGATTCGAGGGTCGCGTCTTAGTCAAGCGTCACCAACCATAACAGCAACATCATCATTATCGATGAAGGACACCGAAAATGCATCACTTCAAGATTTACAAAAGCAAGAAGCCTTACTTCGTATTCGCGAAGCCAAAATAAGGTGTGAAGTGCAAGAAATTGAAAAGGAAAAAGCTCGTGAAGAATTACTTCAAATGCGTGAAGTTCATCGAATGAAAATTAAAGAGATGGAAACAAGACTTCGAAATATGGAACGTTCATGATATGATACATCAAAATTTATCAATCGGTCTCAATATATCTGAATTTATATTATAAACATTGTCTGTATGTATTATTTTTTTTAGTTTATGCATGCAAATGTTTCGAATACATTTTTCTATTGTAAAACAGAACATTTTTAAACAATAATAAATAAATAATTTGAATTTTTTTTAAATAAAATTAATAAGAAAAGTCAATTTTTCTGAATAAAAACTTACGGTGCTTATGTTTCTTTTTGCCTTTGCCAAATTTATTGCTGCGTTCACGATTTGCCTTCGACAAATGTGGAATAGTTCCAAGTGGTTGTGTGCCAATCATATCACCTGAAATTGGTTTTGGTTTGACTTGAAGAAGTTTACTTTCGCAAACTTCACCCTCTTCATTTCGTGCAAAGCATTGAACAATGCCAGCGTGTTTCTTTTCAAGTTGGTCAATTATCAGTCGATTGCCATCCGTGCGAATTGCTTGATCGAGTCGTGTATCGGCTCCATTGATCAACCAATAAATGGATGGCTTAGGATATCCATGTGCAATGCACTCCAACTCAAGTCGATCACCTTCATCGGTGAGTGTATCGATGGGACCTTTTTCAATTTTCGGCGCTTCCAAAACATCCAGTCGTATGACTAACATTTTTGCTGGCGCAATGCCATTGTCAAGCTGACAAATATATTCTCCACGATCCTCTGGCCGTGTATTCAAAATTTGCAGGCCAGTACCAAAAACAGACGTACGATTATTCGAAATGACTGTTCCTGGACGACTCCAGGAGCTCTGTTTAACAACAGGATATCCAACACCTGCGAATTCGAAAATGATGAAAATAAAAATGTTAGATTCACTGGTTTTATGGGATCATGTTGGAAATTACCTGGGCATTCCAAAAGGGTTGTTTGGCCCGGCTTCACGGTGACATGTTCTGATGAACTATACAAAAAAGATGGTGGCCCCTTTGGAGTATAGTCAACAGTTACGATAGTCTTTTGCAGCGATGTCACTTCTACACCGGTCAGCGGGTTCACAGCTTTACACCAATACGTGCCCGTATCCACATTCGTTACAGACTGCAACATTAAAGCTCCAGTTGACAATTGTGGAATCGAATTTGGTAATGGTTGATCATCTCTGCAAATTAAAACTTTATTATTTTAACAGACTATTATTTTCCATTACTTGACCATGAGATGAAGAATATTTTATTGTAAATCATCTCATTTAAATTATTCATCCTGTAATGATTTCTATCATCACGAACAACTAATACACTTACTTGTAAAAATTCCAAATGGGCTGTGGATTTGATTTAACTTCACCGCAATTAATAAGAATATTATTACCAGGTGGTACCAACTGAAAAAGGGAGTAAATGGAAATTTGTTAAATAAAGTGAAACGATTTTAATTCAATTTGCTTTCCTACCCAATGTAGGACGCGTGCATTTACGGAAGTGTCAACCGTTATGTTGGCCAAAACTAATTTGGCTGGGATGGATGCAAGAGCAGCGGCTCCAAGCCACGCCACACACTGATAATCACCGGCTGAATGTTGATTGACATAAATGCGCAATTTTGATATGCTATCTTCGATCGTTATATTATATTCACTCTAATTATGGAAAATACAAAATTGATATTATAAATGTGACATTCGATACGTTAAAAGCTATTCAAAAATCTTTTTCTGACCAAACACAAACCATTTTATTCAGGTAGATATAATCGCTATAGCTATTGCCGCTGTTGGAACGTTCTTTTTGCGGTCGAAATCGCCATTCGATGCGATCAGATGCCAAATTTAAGCCACACTCAAACAATACCTCATCATACAGTGGGGCAACGGTTGATTCAGGCTGTCGTTCCATATATGCTCCAAATTTTTCCGCTTTCGCGGACGATGTCGATGACGACGGTCGACTTGAAAAGGCTTTGACACCGTATCGATCATTTTGCAGTATTAATTGTGATAGAATTAGAATGGTGAAAAAACTCGCTTTCAAATTTCCCAAAAAATGGTTCGTAAATATTTTTAAATACAAATGGCGTCGAGCCATTTTTCCTTTTCTTTCTCTCTCTCTCTCACACACACTCAAAAAAGTCGTTCCTTCTCTCGTTTTAATTATGGCTCATAAATCCCCCGAAACTCTTCGTGGACTCTGAAATGAAACGAAACAGTTTTAATTTTCTTTGAAATCATTCAATTTACAAAGTTAAAATTATGTTAATTTGATCTAAAAACATGTTTGCGGTAGATTTGGTTGAAATTTATACGTAGATATTTTGGCATCGATTAAAATCGACAGACCGAGCTGTGGTGCAAGTGTTTCAGCGTCGTGCATAGCGTGATATTTAAATTTAGTATGTGCTAAGTATGTTCGCACATCTCTTCTAATAGCAGCAAGAACACTGGAAAGAGCAAACTCTTGCACGTAGCTAAGAATTACAAAGTCCAACCTAAATAGATTGCCATACATAAAATGCCTGTGTACTTATGTAGTTTTCCTGCCTTGGCAAATGGTTTTTTTTTACTTAATGATTGTATGAAATTAATACCAATCAAACATTAATCTCTCGCCCACATTCAATTGACAAACACTGTTCGGTTTTCGTTTCGATTACAATTCGTACGTTTTTAATCGACACGCATATTTATCAATGTATGTTTGTTCGAAAAACGAGCGAGATATTTTGCAAATACGATTTATATACCGGGCATGACTTTCAATTTTAGTGTTTTGGATTCCACGGGCAATTCTGTAAATACATGAACACGATTACAAATCTCACTAAGAAAATGTTACTTTTATTAATCCAATCAAAGTGAGATTTATCGACGCCAAGTGTATTTGTGCATTTTTAACTTGTTTTTGGTGAGTTTTTATGACACACCAACTTTTACATTCTATCGGACACATGTTGAATTCTTTTCGGTCACTTATTCTACGGTTTTGTAAACGAAATATTTGGACACAAATTATTTTTTTTTCATTTAAAAATATTCCCTCATTTTAAATCAAGACGACATTGAGGAGGAAACGAATACTCACAGAAAAGAGAAATAGCAACATTCTAATACACAGATTTTGAACTGTCAAATTGTCACTAATACTATGAACGGCATAGTGATTTTTGTATGTATTGTGTTCCTTTGCTGAGCATTATTATTATCTCGCAACAAAAACGGCGATTCATTTAGAATTTGTATTCAGATGATTCGTCGTATAGATTTAAAAAATCGTTTTGAATACAAAGTCATCTGAATACAACTTCTAAACGAATCATCATATAGTTTGAGAAGTGATTATCTTTTGCATATATCATCGGCGTTAATATTGCACAGCAATATTCGCAAATATATCAAATGACGTTTTCTGTGAGTAAAAAGGAATTTCGCAAACGATCATTTACATGACCATATATAAATGCCACACGAAAGAATTTTCACACGTTTGTGCTTGTTTTTGCTTTTACCATAAAATATTAAATGATCGATATGCAAATTCCACATGTTGTTCAATTCTCTATCTTGCTTTACCAATGCTTCGATCATTTCATCGCATTAAATCGAAAAAGATAGGCAAATGATCACGTCTTTTTTTGTTGAAAAATTGGATAAACTCAAACACACATTAATTCAATTATATGGATTCTTGCGCTTTATAAAACTGGTTGCTTCTATCAAAAGCCAAACAAATTATGTTTCTGCATTGAAAAAGAGACGATTCAGTCAATAATCATCTATATAGATTAACGCATACAAATTTGAAATTACATGGTATTGTTTTCGTTCAAAGAAAATATGCTAATTTCGAATCAAAATAAAATTGGCACAAAGAATAATGGCACGTTTAACTGTTTGACTGCCATTCAACACTAGATATTCTTTTTTTTCTCACTCTTTAACTGATTCGGCAATTCGAATCGATCAATTTTATTGGTTTGACCATAAATTGAAAATAAAAACTTTGCGCAGCAGGAACGAATTTTTACGACACACGATTTTCATTTTTGGTGTCTTTCAATCAATAATTTACAAAAAAATGCTCTGAATTTTCAAACAATCTGTTGAATTTGAACTATATGTCCATAAAAACAACGAATATCCACACGTTTACTACTTTTGACCAAAGTAGTGATTTACCAAAGTGTTTGCTGTGAATTGAAAATTAACGACTAATCCAATGTGGTCAACGGCTTTTGCGATTATCGACTTAATTAAAAGGTGATGAATATTAGATTATCACTAATTAATTTTGAAGAAAAAACTCACAATTTCGAATGTAGGACTTGTAGGTTCAATACATAATGATCAATCGAAAGGAATGAAATGATTGACGTTTGTATTTTATTTTATTAAACTTAAAAAGTAAATTTTTTCCATTAACATGAGCTTAATATATATTAAGCGCTTAATAAATGTAATGCTTTGTTCGGCAATAAATGATTTTTTGAATATTTCTTATACCAAATAAGTACGATGAATTTAAGTCTTTTCTCCATCAACTTACATCAAATGTAGGTGTTTTAAATATTGATTGAACGACGCAATAAAATAATATTGTTTATTATCGTAAAGCAGCCTTAAAAATATCGTTTATTCAACGCACTTCTCTAAAATGAAAAAACAAATAATTACGAAGTACAAAATCAATAACAATAAAGTTTTACAACAAAGTATTATTCAAAAAAATTAAATGGGCTAAAAAACTGTCGTCGCCTTTTTTTCTTTACGACCGAAATAGATCGTTGGACCCAATCAAAAAGCGATTATCTAACAATTTTCCTCGATTCTTCTAAAATAGTTTGTCAAAACCAAAAGTAAAGCATGTTGTGGTTACGACTGGCTGAATGTACTGGGTCTCAACGTTTCTTTTTTGTCTTCTCCAAAAAACGAGTTTGTTTTTAGGGAACAACACATCAATTAACAGTCTGTTTGTGGTTAAAATGTATCAAACTATATATAGAGCCCGCGCTCTAAGTAAATAATAATTTTTTGAATAAGTTACTCAGAGATGAGTTTCATTCAATAATTATTGCTATATACATCGAGAAAGAGGCTTGTCCACAAAATCGATGTGATCAACTCTCTTTACTCATCTTTAGTCGCCATAAAGACTCCAAAAAATCATTCTTCCGGAAAGAAAAAACTCACATCTTTTTTATTTGCTTTTTCTGGCTATTGTTTCTGGATACTTGCCGAACACGCACACTTTTTAACCATTCACAAATGCATTAGCATTCAACATTCTCACTCATTCTGATCCGCTGGTTATACTTCTCATTGATCAAAATAGGAAAGACAAACTATTTTAACGTTTTCCAAACCAATTTCAAACGTTTCGACAGCATTCAAAATGAAAGAAAACAACACAGTTACTAATCGAAATGAATGAGAAAATTTAACACCAATTTGTGCGCCGAACACCTACGGTGATTTTTTTCCCTATGTATTGTGATCAATATGTAACTCACATTCAACACACAGAATTTGAACAAATTATACTCCAAATATTTGTTCAGCAAACATTATTTTATCATTTAAATTGAGAAATATATTTTCAATAAACATTGGTCGCATCATTTTATTCTTTGGATTATTATTTGTTTGTTCGAATCGAATTGGGCTCTTTCTTTTTCCATTGACGAAGAGAATGAAAAATATACATATAAAATAGAAGAAGAAATAAAAGCAGAAGAAGAAGAAGAAGAAGAAGAGGCCTCTGTCAAACACTAATTTAATGCCCACCAAAAACAAAAATATGTTCGTGCATTGATGGCTGATTCATTCAAAACTTCATTAATTAATTCGACAAATGCTTTTGGCATTCAGAATAATACAAAAAATTAAAACCAAACACTCATTTTGTTAGACAAATATCAAAGAATTTGATTTTGTATTTCAATGTCATAAATCGGATTTGAATAGTTTTTCGGTTCAATTAACAAATCATCGATCACGAATTGTGGTCGCGCATACACACTATATGAATCGAAATGTCAGCGATTTGGTTTTACAATGAATGATCAAAATATGACGTAATTTTTGTTTTCATTCACACTGAATGTAGCGAATACATCATTTATTACGATTCCTTTCGACTGTAATGATTGCATGGAGGAGGAAAAAATATATGCGCATTGCGCATTGAATACGTGCATGCACTATAGTGAGCCTTTGCCTCCGGGTCCGGGTTTCAAGTACCGTTATTTCCAATTTATTTTTTCGTATTATGACTTGAAATTGCTAAAGGATGCGATTTGGGTGTAATTCAATACTCTTAAAAGAATGCAATCGATTGCAATCAACGCAAAAAACCATTCAAATCAGTCTATAGTTTTGACACATGTATATTGCTTCAAATGTATTACATTTAAATGGATAATTGAATACAAACATTATAATGGAGATTCATCACGCAAATTCACGATTTAAGTAGACGGGCTGCTGAATCTAATTTATATTTAATACATTCTTTTTTGGTATTTGATTATACCTTCAAAAAATGAAACATGTGTCGATTGTTTCAGAAATGAGGAAGGATACAACACGCCATTTATCAATATTTACGTAATTTCAATCTTGTGGCACACGTCGAATTTTAAATTTGTATCGATTTCTTACTTTTGATATCGACTTGCGCTTCACTTTGCTTGCACAAATGATTAGGCGTATGTGTACACTTTATTATTTCCTTTTGCTTTCATACTATACAGTAGATTCGGTAGAGCAGTACATTTACCGAAAGTTCAGTGTGAGTAAGCAATTTCCGTTCGAAAGGAAATTGATTTTTCGATTAAAGTGGGATTTTACATTTACCATAGACCTACCGCACGATTCGATAAATTCATTTTGTTTTTCAAATATCTTCCTGATTCCTTTTTTTTTCTTTTCCCCCTTTTTAATACATCAACTTCTAGAGCTTCATTGTTCAATCGATATGTAGTGGTGTAGCACCATTGAAAGTGAGACCATTGTCAAGCAATGTAGGCATTTCCGCTAAATTTAATCTTAGTCGGAAATGCGGTCAACTATTTTTGATCGATTCATCGAAAAATAAAATGTCTTACATCCGTAAGATGAACTTTCCCGCACTGTGATCCACAACATGCATTTATTACATATCTTTTACTGTAATTTGAATTCACGAGAAAACTG